GGCATGGTCTGTAAACCACAGCCAGTTTGAGACGAGCGCAGGAAAATATTTTATTGTGAATGCAGAAAATGGAAGAAGCAGAGATGGGGAAGCATGTGTACTGTTGTAGAAGGGAAAGAAAACAGTTGTCATGCAGCTGCCCTGGATCTCAGATACAAAAAGTTAGTTGTTGTCACCTGAAGATGGCATCAGTCTGCAAGGGACCATCGAAGTGCTTGCTGTCAAAGAAGCAAAAGCTGGGACAGATAATCTCACACAACTGGAGAGTGCTGATGATTCAGGTGTAGGTAAGACCTCTGCTCTGGATGCCCTCCTTCAGTCTGACACAGAGCGATGATGAGAGTGAGCAGGAGGAGGAAGAAGATGCCCAGAACAGAAGGGTCCAGACAGTGAGAGGGGAAGTGCACGTGTATTTTGGTGAAGCTGCAATTTCTAAAAGAGATGATCCTTTCAAACGGTGGAGGGAAAGTCAGGGTCGTTTCCCCACTCTGTTTGCTAAATCCTTTCTGTGCATCCCTGCCACTTCCAAAGCCATCTGAACAAATATTCTCTGCAGCTGGGAACATCTGCTCTCAGAAGAGAGCAAGCTTTTCTCCTGAACATGTGGAAATGCTGACTTTCCTGAGTGTAAACCGGGACCTTGTGTGATTATTTAGATGGATACATTTCATGTGAGCTCAAGTCTTTTTGTATTTTAGGTTTTAGTTGCATACATGTGATCTGTTTGACATTGTAGCGTTTGTATTAATATGTCACAACAAAATTCATTAAAAGCAGTTTATAAGCTATTATCTTGTCTTTATTATTAGATGGCACATAACTGATCATCACATAGAACTAGAAGCTAATTAGAGCATCCTGGTGCAACAAACTGTACTTTTATGAATGACACGTAGGGATGGGTACCTTTGACATTTGAATCGATCCGGTACTAATTCCCGGTACCTACGAATCGATACCGGTACTTAACGGTACCAATTTTCGATACTTTTGAGTGTTTATTATTTTAATTCTCATTTATAATTAAATATATATTTTTCTCAATATATATCAATATTTGATATATATCACGATAAATAACATTCAACTGTTTGTATTTTAACATCGTCCTTGTAGTTTTATAAGCTGATAATTAAACTAAAGCAAACATCTTTACTGTGAACTAAATTTACTGTGTATCTTCATTCCTTTTGCCGTCTTTTTTCATTTGATTTTTCCTACTGGGAAGTTAGAATTTCCGAGGAGAAAGCGAACACACCATTAGCTGATAACATTGGTAGCAATGGAAGCTAGCATACCAAGCTAACATTATCTTAAACAGTTTATTTAGCTGCTGGAGCAGATTAAAACGATGATGCCTCACACTTAGATCGTTGTCACTGGTTTCGTCTTCACCCGTCACATTTAGTAAAGTGAAGCCAAACTTTAGAGCGCGTTCATGTTCTTCTAGTCGGGGATTCGGAGTTCCGAGGAGAAAGCGAACGCACCATTAGCGAAACAGAAGCTAACATATCAAGCTAATTATATTTACCTACCGGAGCAGATTAAGATGAGGATGTCTCACTTAGATCGCTGTCGCTGGTTTCATCATCACCCAGTTACCCATCACATTTAGTGAAGTGGACCCAAGCTTTAGCCTGCGCTCTTTCTACCATGCTGCTCTGTTTACAACTGGTTCGCAGCGAGCGACAACATAAAGCTCTTGTGCATGCGCAGCTGTCTTGGCAAGTTCTCGTTATGATGGACGGGTACCGAAACAAGGCACCGTTTGAAATGACGCAAATCGGTGCTCGGTCGGTACTATGGAATTCGGTCGGTACCTGAAAAAGTACCAAATTCGGTACCCATCCCTAGACACGATTAGTCTTAATCGTCACCAAGCTAGCGACTAGTCGACTAATAAAATAGTCGTTTGTGGCAGCCCTAGTTAGGATGCCTCCTGGTTTTCCAGGCACGTCGAAACGGGAGGAGACCTAAAGGAAGACACTGAACACACTGGAGGAACTATGTGTCTCGGCTGGCCAGGGTATGCCTTGGGATTTCCCGCAGGAGTTGGTCCAAGTGGCTGGGGAGAGCGAAGTCTGGGCAACTCAACTTAAGCTTTTACCCCCATGCAACCCAACTTCACATAAGCTGAAGAAAACTGATGGATGGTTGAAATTAATTTATGATCAGCGCGGGCCCAATGTGTTTTCAAGCAGACCAGCAAGCTCTTAGAAAGAAAACAATCTTTTGTGTAGCGCCTCTCAAGATAAAAATCACGAGGCACTTCACAAGAAAAAAAAACATTTAAAATATAAAATTATTTGTTTTTATTATTAAAAATATGATTAAATGGGAACGCCTGGCAGAAGAACCTGTTAAGACGGTATTCAACTCCCACCTCCGGCAGAGCTTTGACCGCGTCCCGAGAGCAGTGGGGGACATTGACTCCGAGTGTGCCTTGTTCCACTCTGCGATTGTTGAGGCGGCTGTTGCCAGCTGTGGTCGCAAGGTGGCCGGTGCCAGTCGTGGTGACAACCCCTGTACCCGCTGGTGGACACCAGAGGTTCGGGGAGCCGTCAGGCTGAAGAAGGAGGCCTACAGGGCGTGGCTGGTCTGTGGGTCTCTGGAGGCAGCAGACAGGTACCGGAGAGCCAAGCGGGGTGCAGCAGTGGCAGTTGCCGAGGCAAAATCTCGGGCGTGGGAGGAGTTTGGTGAGGCCATGGAGAAAGACTATCGATCGGCTCCAAAGAGGTTCTGGCAAACTGTCCGGCGCCTCAGGAGAGGAAGGCAGCAACTCGCTCACACTGTTTACAGAGGGGATGGGGAGCTGCTGACGTCAACTGGGGCTATAGTCAGACGGTGGAAGGAATACTTTGATGTGCTCCTCAATCCAACCTATGCGCATTCCGAGGAGGAACCAGAGCCGGAAGACCTGGGGATGGACTGTCCAATATCGGGGGCAGAAGTTGCTGAGGTAGTCAAACAACTACACAGCGGCGGGTCCCAGGGGCGGATGAGGTTCGTCCTGGTTATCTCAAGGCTATGGATGTCGTAGGGCTGTCATGGTTGACACGTCTCTGCAACATTGAGTGGTCATTGGGGGCAGTTCCTGTGGAGTGGCAGACCGGGGTGGTGGTCCCCATCTTTAAGAAGGGTGACCTGAGGGTGTGTTCCAACTATAGGGGGATCACACTCCTCAGCCTCCCTGGAAAGGTCTACTCCAAGGTACTGGAGAGGAGGGTCTGATCGATAGCTGAATCTCAGATTGAGGAGGAGCAATGTGGTTTTCGTCCTGGCTGTGGAACTGTGGACCAGCTCTATACCCATGCATGGGTGATGGAGGGGGCATGGGAGTTCGCCCAACCAATCCACGTGTTTTGTGGATTTGGAGAAGGCTTATGACCGTGTCCCCAGGGGCACCCTGTGGGGGATGCTCCAGGAGTATGGGGTGGGTGGCTTTCTGTTAAGAGCCATTCAGTCCCTTTACCAGAGGAGTGCGAGTTTGGTCCGCATAGCCGGTAGTAAGTCGGACCTGTTCCCAGTGAGGGTTGGACTCCGCCAGGGCTGCCCTTTGTCACCGGTTCTGTTCATTACCTTTATGGACAGAATTTCTAGGCGTAGCCGTGGTGTGGAGTGTGTCGAGTTTGGTGGCAGGAGAATCTCATCTCTGATTTTGCGGATGATGTGGTCCTCCTAGCTTCATCCAGCTCTGACCTTCAGCTCTAGGCAGAGTGTGAAGCGGCTGGGATGAGAATCAGCACCTCCAAATCTGAGACCATGGTTCTCGACCAGAAAAGGGTGGCTTGCCAACTTCGGGTCGGGGGAGAGGTCCTACCTCAATTGGAGGAGTTTAACTATCTCGGGGTCTTGTTCACGAGTGAGGGTAGGAGGGATCGGGAGATCGACAGGCGGATTGGTTCAGCATCTGCAGTGATGCAGATGCTGAGCCGATCTGTCGTGGTGAAGAGGGAGCTGAGCCAGAAAGCCAGGCTCTCGATTTACCGGTCGATCTACGTCCCAATCCTCACCTATGGTCATGAGCTTTGGGTAATGACCAAAAGAACGAGATTGAGGATACAAGCGGCCGAAATGAGTTTCCTCCGTAGGGTGGCCAGGCTCAGCCTTAGAGATAGGATGAGGAGCTCGGACATTCGGGAGGGACTCGGAGTAGAACCGCTGCTCCTCTGGATCGAAAGGAACCAGTTGAGGTGGTTTGGGCATCTGGTCAGGATGCCTCCTGGACGCCTTCCCGGGGAGGTGTTTCGTGCATGTCCTGCCGGCAGGAGGCCCCGGGGTCGACCCAGGACACGTTGGAGAGGTTACATCTCCAATCTGGTCCAGGAACGCCTTGGGGTCCTGCCGGAGGAGCTGGTGGAGAAGGCCGGGAGAAGACGGTCTGGAGCTCCCTAGTTGGGATGCTGCCCCCGCGACCCGGATAAGCGGAGGAAGATGACGACGACGATTAAATGAGAGAAAATAAACACTACACGTGGCAGGAATATCTGATAAGATAATCTTTAGAGCATCATCACATCCTGCCATGTGACCTTACTAAATAACCCGCCCTGCCACCAGAACCAGGTAGCAGAGTAATCCACCAACAGGGTTTCCCTCAGAAAATGAGTTAAGCCTGGCGGATTCGATCGTCGGGGGTGGTGGGGTTTGGTGGCACCGCAGCGCTCCTCTGACAGTGGGGGTGGGGGGTTGCACACGTTCCGCTGCTGTTTCTCACCAGTATCAGCTGATGGAGGGCTCTAGTTTCGTTGCGCCGTTCGGGTCAGCGGATACAATAGGGTGGGGGATGGGGGAGGGGCATGAAGGTTAGCGTGGCGGGTGGCCAAGCAGGCTTATAAAGCGCTGGGATAAACCCTGCACCAAGGAAGTGGGCCACTCTGCTAGCCTAAGCACAACCATGACCTCTGACTTGAAGTGTCATTCGGATCATTTTACTTTCAAACGTAAAAAAAAACTTCCATTTTTAAGTGTGAATATTAGGACAATTTTACAAATGAAAATATATTTTAGGTAAATTTTATTGAACAAAAATGTTTTTAAAGATCATGTAGGAAATACATTATAATACAAATGTTGCACATAGAAGACAAACATAAGATCTAGAAAAAGGCATGAACATGACCAAGTACAGACCAACCAGGAAGGGCACAAAGACTTCATGAACATCAGAATCCTCTAAACAGACAAGGAAATCTGTAAGCTGGTCACCCACTGCTGAAATGGTCCAAGTTTAAAACAAGAAAACAGATATCTTTAGAGCAGTCAAAGGGTTTTGAATTCAATTATTTTCTTTTTTCCCATATTTTTTTGCTGACTTTGTAATTAAACAAAACTGATGTCTGACTAGAATTCCAATTTAGTGAAAGATATTTTCTTGGTTTCTGAAAAGACAATAGTTTATCAAATTGTATTGGTACATCTGGAGTTTGGAGCCTTTTCTTGATTAAAAAAATTTCAAGACAAACAAATGTTTTGTTTTCTCTCAAAGGCATTTAATAATGAGAAGTGGATGCTCCAGCAAAATGACTAAGATGGCTAATGGTTTAAATTTAGCCAAGCTACCTTTTTCTAAATATTAGTGCAGAATTTTTTTTGTTTTAATTATGCTATGAAATAGGATTGTGTTTCAAAGAATGGACAGAAGTTTGTTACAAATAACATGAAGCTGGATGCAGGTTGTTTCTCACAGTATTAACACTTTGGAAAGCACAGAAGGCGGTATGGCATGCTCATTTCGACCTGCAGGGGGCAGCAGTGCTACCAATGCCTAATGAGAGGTTGCTGCTCTAAATGCACCAGTCTGAAATAGAAATAAGGGAAACTATGTAACATTCTGTGGCAGCAACATCATTAAGTTAGCACCCGTGTTAAAACCAGTCTGGACTAAACAAAAAAAAAAAAAAGAAAACAATAGGGAAAATTTCACAGATGCTCTGAATGCTGCAGCAAAATAACAGTTTGTAGTTGGAAACAGAACTGCTAAACGCCTTTCTTCAAATTTTAAATGAGCCATATCAACTCTGCTTCTTTCTATCAATGTTTTGACAGCAAAAATGAGCTGGGCAAAACTTTTTCTGACATGGCAAAGTGGTCACAAAGTGAACCATTTTAAGCTCACCCAACAAAAACATAACAGCACTTTGTTTAATGCTCACAAACTTAATCTAACGATAACCACTGTTTTTTTTTATTTGACGTGAACATTTTTACATTCCAGATCTTAGATTAGGCAAAATATCGGGATATGTTCTGAATCAAAAGACTGAAATTTGTAAAACACGGAATTACAAAATCTTAATCCGTAGTGGAAAGTTGTGTGAAAACCCAGAATAAAACATCCGTTTCCTTGAATTTCTGCAGGTAAGTAGGGCAAATATTCATTGCAGTCTTGCACTTTTGACTCATCAACTAAAGGAACACTTTGTGAATAACATTAGTTTTAACTGATCATTTCATGGGCAACAAAATCAATATTACAATAAAATAGTCCTCCTGATATTTACTGATGTTACAAAAAGGAAGACAAACTCATTAACCTTTCCCCCTATTTATGAAAGTTGCAATTTAATGGGGATTTTATACCTTCTTTCAACAATAGCTTCAACTTTCCTTCGGTCTACAAAATGATCTGGTGTGGCAGGAAAAAGCGCTGCAGGCAAAAACTAATAAAAAGTACTCAAATTCTTAACACTCTGCTTTAGTTTAAATTTTTAAACATCATCCTACACTTGACACTGGCTGAAGGGAAGGTACTTATCTTCTGTGAACATTGAGAGAAGCCAGAAAGTCAAAGCTGATCTGTTGTTCTTATGTTTTGTAAACTTTATGTTAACAGTGAAAAACCCCTGCATTTGGCCAACAGCCTGCTAGGAAAAGCATCTTCCCAGATGTTTCATTTTCAACACCCAGCAGAGATCACAGAAACCCATGTAAGACATCTGCTAGGGACAAGAACACTGCCAGGTGGAGGCTAAACAAATGAAAAACACTAACTTCTGCTGAAGGAGAAGGTTATGAGTTGTGTGTTGGAGGCTTTCATTTCTTCTGAAACTTGAAGTCTCTCAGCAAGTGGTTAAGTGGTTGGATCTGAATCACAGGAGAAAGGTTCACCTGTAGAATTTTCTGTGCTTTTCTGCAAGCCTCGTCCACTGGGCGAGAGTCATCAATTTTTATCACTTTCTGCCGTAAACTTTTCTTGTCCCTCCAGCTACTTCTCTGTCGTGAAGAATTATTCATTTCCTTGGCTCCTCGAACATCTTGATGGAGGCCGTTCCCTCTCCAGCCATTGCTGGTCATCTCTGTGTGGGCCTGCGAGAATGTCCGACCATTGGCATAGAAAACTGGTGCAGAATCCCCGATAAGGGCGCCATCCAGCCTGATTGGGCAAGACAGGCTCTTCTGGCTGAACAAGGCCACAGCTTTGGTGGGTGCCCTGTCATCATTTTGAGAAGGCTGAGAAGGTATTCCTGAAAGCAATGGAGGGTGCTGCTGTGATGAGAACATAACAGAGCGTGTCTCGGAGTCCCAGACAGTTTGGATCTGGAGTCTTGCAGTGTGGAAGCCAGACAGGCCTTCAATATTAGTAAGCCTGAGGCATGGCTGCATGTCCGACTGCAATATCTCAACACTTCGACTAGGTGTCCTGTTATAGACAATGGTGTGGTGGTCTAACAACATTTCTGGAGGTCGAATTCCTTTAATCCTCGGATTGTTTCTCTCAGACGTGTTCCAGGATGGGTGCACCTCCCTCTTCTTGACCTGAGGCTTTCTCTTCCTTTTCTTGCTGGTAGGTCTAATATTCTTATTGGCCAACTTCAGCATATCTTCAGTGAGAGGTTGGCTTGTACAAGAACGGTACCTATAAACATCCTTGCTGAAGAGAACAGTGGGTCTGTGACCCTCCTCACTTAACTCCTGCAGAAATATTACAAGATCCTCTGTACTTGAGAGGTCTCGGGACATCGGGCTGAGGATCTTCAGAGCATCCAAGAGAACATTATGCCCTGCTGATGAGATCCGGGACCAGGTATGAACAGCCCTCTGCTCCTCATTGGCAAATGCCAATGGCCGTCTGACCATTGAACCTTGTGGTACATCAGCCATCTTTCCTGACCTGTGGGCAAAAAGACCAAGAATAAGTGTGTGTTAAACACAAAATCCACTCATTTTTAAGGTTTATTTGTATCAAAAAAACTAGGTGGATTTTTTATTTTGAAAGCAATACGCCATTTTCAAATAGGACAACATTTTGTGACGGAACATTAGCTTTCTCTTGTCAGGGGGAAAACCATTTTATAACAAGAACTGGGATGAAAACTAACAACTTTGAGAGACTTTATTGGGGTAACATCAATTCTTCGCTTTCGAGAATTGATGTAAGAAAAAAAAAAGAAAAAAGACCTGCATTTGTGTAGTGCCTTTCTGAATCAGAGGACTCCAATGCGCTTTACACTACAGTGTATCATTCATTCATTCACACACACATTCACACACTGGTGGTGATGAGCTACATTGTAAAATAATTAAAAGTCATCATGCTAGACCAGCCTCTCTCTGTGGTGGACCACACAGGGATCTGCGCGCTAGGAGCTGATACAGTTAATAAATGAATGCATAAAAAAAAAACATTGTCCAAAAGAGTTCAAATGATGGCAACTTGACTTCTTTCATTTCTTGAAGACAACAACACCCTCGGACAGAAATTGGGCCATCAAAACACCCAAACAGAAGCTATCATTGTGCATATACTATCCAAATTAGGACAGAATTAGCATTTGGTTTTTAAAGTTTCTCCTTTTAATCCCATCTAAAGAAACAAAAATATTCCTTGTAGTTCCACCTAAACAAAATTTCATTCTATTTTTAAAACAACTCAAAACTGTCAATCCCTTCTCTTGTTACTGAGAGACTTCCATGGTCATGTGACAAACTCACCCAATCAGCAGCATTGTTGATTTAATCACATGACCTGTAGCGGCCCATGGTCTGTTAGTCTGTAAGTAGATGAGTGTGACTTAGGTTCCCTATTTTATTTATTTGTTTAATTTTTTTTGTCTTTAAAATACCATCATTTGTCCTCGACTTTTTGTTTTTGTCTGAATGCTGGCATAATTTTAAAACTATTAGATATGATGTTACACAGCACTCAAGTAATGTTTAATTAAATATTTTGTTGCTGTTAGTGCAGCAATGCTTATGGACGGCTACTCAAATCAGTGTATTACTGCAACTGTGTGTCTTGCTGGCATGGCGATTCACAAATTTTGTGGCATTCTTTCCACCTTACTTGGTAGTAACATTGTGGCAAATGTCTGTCTTATAAACAACGATTACACCTTGGACACAGGGAGGTGTCATGATCACGTGAGGAGTTACTGCAGAGCTCTGACCGGCAACTACTGTATATTGATAGATTAAATTAAAAACGTAAAATAAGTTTCATTTTTGTAAACAGAATCAGCTGAAATGAGAAACTGGAGCAATGCAGCTATAGAAAAGAGCTTGATTTGTTAAGTTATTTGTGTTAAGTTTTTTTAATTTACTTATTAGGAACAATTTAAGTGTGTTTGCCATTCGTTGGTATATTTGGTCCGAGCCACCTCAACTGGCTCCTCTTGATGTGGAGGTGCGGCGAATCTACTCCGAGACCCTCCCGAATGACCGAGCTTCTCACCCTACCTTTAAGGGAGAGCCCAGCCACTCTGTGGAGAAAACTTATTTCTGCCGCTTGTATCTGCAGTCTCGTTCTTTCGGTCACTACCCAAAGCTCTTGACCATAGGTGAGGGTAGGAACGTAGATCGACCGGTAAATCAAGAGCTTCGCCTTCTGACATTCTCATTCAAAAAGAGTTAACCTCTCTGAGGAGCTGACTGAAGAAGTGACATCTGAAATGTTTTGATAAAGCCCTCAAACATGTCAAATTCTGATTTGCCAAATTTATCAACACTGTGATTTTAATAAAACCAGAATTACTTCCCGATTAATTCCATTTCCAGCTGACTCCCGATTAGGCCAAATCAGGGAAAAAGCCTTTTTGAAACCATCCTCTCATTTGACCTCAGGTCAAAACCTCTCTGCAACACTGCGGGTGATATCAGACAAAACGGCTCTTCCAAGAGCCAACAAACAGCTTTAGATGCAAACAAGCATTCCAGCTTCCTGTCATCACCTGGAGAGATCTCAGACTAGATGGGTCCTATCGGAGCTAATCTACAGGTTCCTGATACAGAGAGGTCCACTCCACCGGCAGTGCCCAACATGACCTCTGGACCCCTTGGAGCGCATGAGAATCTCCACACAAGGGTGCGTAGATTCAACAGATTGCGTCATATGGTTTTTATAAATAAATCTCTCGCCTACCAAACAGACAGCCAAATTTATTTTACAACCCAGGCTCCACAAATTCTCTCAGATGCTTAAGAAAGGTTATGCTAAAACATTCAGCTTCCATTACATCTCATCCATCACATTAATTCACTTCATATCTATCATTTCATTCATACCTTGTCATGTATTACCATTAGTTTAGGGAAAAAGAAAAAAATGTATTTTTATAAACTATAGCTTAGGGTTTCTGTCTATACACCTTATCCTCCCTTGCTCATCCCCTTCCTAAGTATTCTGAAGGCTTCATTTCTGGTTTTTCATTTTTTGAAAAATGAGGCAGAAAGAGGTGTTGTCTGGCGAACCGCATGGTACACATGGAAGGGGCTGGGTGGAGTCAACACTCTTACTTGCTATGCTAAAAGTTCATGTTGTGTCATAATAGGCTGACTAGGGTTGTCACGGTAACCGGTATAGCGGTAAACCCCGGTAAAAAAGTTGACAATAAAAATAACCGTCCAGTTTTTAAAAAACTATATTATCTCGGTGGGTTTACCGTGGCCGCGGTTTCGGCGCGATGACCCTTACCAGCCACCGTCGCTTCAGCTGAAGTTCCCGCGGCGCGCACACGCACTTTTTAATTTGCAACGGCACCAAAACTTTGAAGCTGAAATAATGGCCGAAGGAGGCGACGGCAGCGCCCAGGACATCCATCAGCCCTCAAAGAAGACTAAATCGGAAGTATGGGCATATTTGGGATTTCTGAAAAATGCTGAGGGACAGTTAATAGAAGACGGCTATCCCGTTTGCAGAACGTGCAGGAAACAAGTGTCTGCAGAAGGCAGCAACACTTCAAATCTCATGGCACATCTGCGTGACGATCACCCACGTCTCCACAGCCAGTGCAAGGTAAGATAACATTAGCATTTTAGCTGAAATGCATGACGTGAGGACTTCTGGTTGAGGGAGAATGCAACGAGTCACTATAAACTGCAGCCGCAGCGCCCTCTGTCAGCATTTAAACCGTGTCACGGACACCCTGTTGCTGGATGAAGCATCTTATTTGTTGATGATGAAGAGAAATATACAATTAGTTCCTTGTCATGGATTTGTTTACTTATTCAATGCCATTTATACTTGAACATTTGGATTTGATTACATAGTGTAGTAGTTATTTTAGTAATTTGTTTAAAGTGGCTATTTATTTTAAATACATATTTTTTAAGGTTGACTTGTACAGTGCTCAAGTCAAGTGTGGACTGGAGTTTTAGATTTTCATTTTGATAATGAAGAAAACAAGTATATGAGAAAACAAGTGGTGTTTCTTTGATTTGTTTACATATTGTTTATGTTTTGAATGTTTGGATTTGTATAATTTAAACCTGCACTGACTACTGTAACAAGTTCCAGAAAAATAAGCTATTTGTTCCTTTACTTGTGAAAAGTTGCACTTTTGCTAAGGCTTTGTGTTATTTTAGGTTTAATAAACACTGTTAAACCTTTTCAGAACTATTTCAGTTTGTGTAGAACAGGACTATCAATGCTTTCTGAACATATGCAACACCGTTTAAAAAATACCGCGATAATACCGAAAACCGTGATAATTTTGGTCACAATAACCGTGAGGTTAAATTTTCATACCGTGACAACCCTAAGGCTGACTTTATTCTTTATGATCTCCAGGGCAAAACAACAAACACTGAGCAGCTTATTATTGTCCAGCAAATCATGCACACCTCAATTATGACACGTCTCTAAATAAAGTAAAATTTTCTGGTGCAGAGTGGAGCCAACCCATAGAAGCACCGATTTGATCTCATTTCAGAGAAAAATAAAACAGGTTAGATGCACCTAATACATAAAATTACTAACAAACTCAGGAATCTGTTCCTTTGCTTCATTGTTCTGGTGCTGAGAATATCACTAATGTAGATCAAAGGAGATACACAGATGAATGCACCTCTTATTTATTATTTGGAAACTACATTTACTGCAGCTGGCAGAGGCAGAGATTTTTTCTATTGATACAAGGAATTTACAGAATCATTTTCAATTTTAATAGGGGAAGACTGCAGGAGGGAGCGGTAAAATACAGGGGGTCCCCAGCAAAAACAAGAAACTTTACGAGTCTGATGAAACCCGCTGGTTTTCCCTCAGGTAGTCACAGGGCAGCTCCAACGACCCAGTGGCTGTGCTGGGTCAATGTTATCGAGCTCAGTCCGGCTCGGCCGTGAACGAGCAGAGGCAACGTCGTGCTCTCCTTAAGAAGAAGTGTTATTTTCCCGATTCAGAAGAAGCGTCCAACGTGCTTTTACGTTTTCTCTGAGACATGTCACGTCGCTAAGTTGTTAGCGCAGTGCGCTAATGCGTCAATAGTGCAGCGTAGCCTGCTGGAGGTTTTAAGGGTTCAGATGAAAACACCCGACCTATCAGGCTGCTCACACATCGATCTTAAGTTGTCGCTGTTGCGCTCACGCCGTAATACAGTATTAGATGCGGTTAAAGTCAGACATGAAAAAATAAATACATTTTACATGAATAAGTGATGCTTAGCCTGGTTGAGGGAGGAAACCTGTCAAGATCGTCAACACTCGTTTATCTTAATGCTATTGAAACATGTAAACCAAAAAGCATCATATCCACTGCTACCTTTCTGATTTTAAACTCAGTAACTTATGCTGTTACTTCACCTTGCCCTGCCTGCTCCTCCTTGCTGCCCGCCGGCTGTGATCACAAGCGACAACATAGTAGTTCCCGCTGCTTCTTCGGGAAACAGCGCCCAAAAAATA